AAAATGTTGCTTACGGCATCCCCAATAACATATTTAAATTTCATCCAAATATCACGGGTAACCAATTTCCATTTAACTATTGCGGGGTCCTTTGAGTTTTTATCCGTATTTTAGTTATTTTGCTTGTAAGTTTGATTCTGATTATTTAATAAAATATTTGTTGACTAGGCAAGCATCTTATCACAAAAATAAATGCATGCATTGCATCATATCTTCAACCATCATGGTTTTATAATGGAAAAACCAATAAGCATAAGCACTTTTTTCTGGCTCAGACTTATGTAAAATTATTTATATTTTATAGATTCTTGTTAACCCTACGACTTTGCTATACATGTAATAAATTAAAATGTCCGATAATGACTACATAATTCAATTTTTGTAAATTGATCTAGAAAATTCCATATGGCCTTTACAACAATGACGTACTACATCTGTAGGACAAGGCCTACATTTTTATGAATCAATAAAAATCATTGGATCAAAAACATTTCAACTGTTGACCCAGGATAAATCCAGAGATAAAATATTAACCTATAATGGTTAATAAACTGATAAAATTCTGAGAGACGCGGGATTACGCAGAAATTTCCTTGCAACCCCAAAAATCACCTCGCAATTTCAAAAATTAGTTCGCAATCCCCCCTGCAGTTTCTGCAGTCACTGGAATCGCCTCGCAATCCTCCGAAATCGCAAATTTTTAGGAAAATTCTTCGAAATCGCTGCAATAATTTGGAAATTATAGGATTTCCGCAATACATATGAACATATTTTACGGGAGTGGTCCCTCGGATTTCGGTTGCAATTTCGAGATTTCATAAAGATTTCGAATAGGATTTCGCTGTTCGCGATTTCGGGATTTCCAAAGGATTTCGAAAGAATTTCAAGGGATTTCGGATGAAAAGTACAGCGATTTCGGGAGTTAGCCGCGGCTGAGGGGCGGCTCACACCACAATTTGTACATCGATTACGGAAATCGCATAAGATTTCGACAATTTCCAAGGAATTTGGAAATATCTGGATATTCGACTTTCAACGCTGTACGACTGAGGATTTCGAAAAATTTATTGGGATTTCGGGAATTCGGAAGGATTTCGGTTAAGATTTCGGGATTTCAGAAGGATTTCGGTTAAGATTTCGGGATTTCATAAGGATTTCGGATAGGATTTCGCTATTCGCGATTTCGAAAGAATTTCAAGAGATTTCGGATGAAAATGTACAGGGTGATCTATTATAAATGTCACACCCTTCTAACTTTTTCATTTGACATTTTTGACAAAAGTGTCAAATACAAAAGTTTCAATAAATTGTCGAAAGTTTTTAACTAAGGGCGGGTATTATAAAACTACTTTGACAGTTAACTTGAAGTTAACTTTCTGAATTACATGTAATTCCAGAAGTTAACTGTCAGTTAACTCTCAAAGTAGTTTTATAATACCCGCCCTAAGTCAGTTTTGGACCTACAGGGTGTGTCAAAAAAGTGTAGCAGTGTGAAGTTATATTTTTTTAAATAGAACACCCTGCATATCGTGCGCCTATTTGTTAGTTCCTTTTAACCTGCTTTCAATGATATATGATTTGATATATCTATCTTTGATATTTATAGGGGAAAACATGAAAGCCCCTTTCAAGGTTCCATATTGAAAAAAGAAAAATTATACCATTTAAGCTTTAGAGAATTTTTTTATGAATAGTTTATTGTTCAAATAGTATTCATTAATATACAAGGTGAAATATTATAATAAATTCAGGTGTCTAAGTTATTATTATTTTTGAAAAAATAACATGAGAGACCTAGCAAAGGATTTTTGCGTTTTTTCCCTACAACTATTAAAGATAAACCGAGAGATAAACATATCAAACCATATATCGTTGAAATCAGGTTAAAGGGGACTAGCAAATAAGCGCACAATATACAGGGTGTTTCATTTGAAAAAATATAACTTCACACTGCTGCACTTTTTTGACGCACCCTGTATGCCTAAAACTAACTTAGGGCGGGTATTATAAAACTGCTTTGACAGTTAACTTGAAGTTAACTTTCTGAATTACATGTAATTCCAGAAGTTAACTTTAAGTTAACTCTCAAAGTAGTTTTATAATACCCGCCCTTAGTTAAAGACTTTTGACAATTTCTTCAAACTTTTGTATTTGACACTTCTGTCAAAAACGTCAAATGATAAAGTTAGCAGGGGGTGACATTTATAATAGATCACCCTGTTAGCTGCGGCCGAGTGGCGGTACACTCATCACAATTTGTACATTGATTTCGGAAATCGCATAAGATTTCGACAATTTTCAAAGAATTTCAAAAGATTTCGGATATTCGACTTTCAACGCTGTACCACTAAAAATTTTGGGAATTTCGATAAATTTATTGGGATTTCGGGAAGATTTCGATTGAAATTTCAGAAGGATTTCGGGATTTCAGAAGGATTTCGGTTGGGATTCCGAGATTTCGGATAGGATTTCGCTGTTCGCGATTTCGGATGAAAATGTACAGCGATTTCGGGAGTAAGTCGCCCCTCGTAAAATTCCAACCATTGGAAAACTATGCCAATATGTAAAGACAACAATGTTTAACATTACACATTGGAATTTTCGGAATTACTTCAAAAAAGCATTTAATGCCCAATACATGTACAAATGGTCCAGTTGTAACCCCCTCGTAATTTTTTTAAATTGAGTTTCTCACTTTCCTCTTCTAGAAAAATTCCACAATTTTTGCTTTGCCAGTTTTCCAGAAAAAAATTGAAATGTGAAAGGATAAATTTTGCGTAAAAAAGTCAATTTTCCAGAACTCTCCTTTCGATTTTCCTTGGAGTGATTTTTCACTAGAAAATTTGGAAATTATCCTATAATGACTTTCTAATTTTCTTCTTTCTCCTGGAAAAATTCCACAAGTTTTGCTTTATTAGTTTTCCAGAAATAAATTGAAATGTGAGAGGATGAGTTTTTCTTAATTTCACTTGAAAAAGTCATTATTTCAGAAATTTTCCTGGAATGATGTTACACTGGAAAATTTTGAAATTTACTTATAATGAGCTCCTCATTTTCCTTTTTCTTTTGGAAAAATTTCACTATGGTTGCTTTGCCAGTTTTCCAGAAAAAAATTGAAATGTGAAAGGATGAATTTTGCTTAAAAAAGTCAATTTTCCAGAACTTTCCTCTCGAATTTCCTTGGAGTAATTTTTCCACTAGAAAATTTGGAAATTTTCCTATAATGAGCTCCTCATTTTCTTCTTTCTCCTGGAAAAATTTCACAAGTTTTGCCTTATTAGTTTTCCAGAAATAAATTCAAATGTGAGAGGATGAGTTTTTCTTAATTTTACTTGAAAAAGTCATTTTTTCAGAATTTTTTCCGTAGCGATTTTCCATGGAGTGATTTCTCACTGGAAAATTTTGAAATTTTCCTATAATGAGCTCCTCATTTTCCTTTTTCTTTTGGAAAAATTTCACCATTGTTGCTTTGCCAGTTTCCCAGAAAAAAATTAAAATGTAAGAGGGTGAATTTTGCCTAAAAAAGTCAATTTTCCAGAATTTTTCCTGGAGTGATTTTCCACTGAAAAATTTTGAAATTTTCCTATAATGAGTTCCTCATTTTTCTTTTTCTTCTGGAAAAATTTCACAATTTTCCCTTTGCCTGATTTCTAGAAAAAAATTAAAATGTAAGAGGATGAATTCTCCTTAATTTTGCTTGAAAAAGTTAGTTTTTAATTTTTTTTCCTGGAGTGATTTTTTACTGGGAAAATTTTAAAATTTTCGTAAAATGAGCTCCTCATTTTCCTCTTATTCCTGGAAAATTTTCAAAATTTTCCCTTTGCAAGTTTTCCAGATAAAAATTAAAATGTAAGAGGGGTTAAATTTTGCTTAAATAAGTCAATTTTTTAGAACATATTTGAGATTTCAGTCTTAAAAAAAAAACAAAGAATCACCCTTTGTCGTTTGTACATGATATTTAGAAACACCCTGTATAAAACGCAGTTAATTAATTTATATATTTGGGACTCCAATGATTTTTTAAGGGCCGGTATTTCAATGTTACCTTAAGATATAGAATAAATATAAACATTGACAACATTGTCTGACCTCGTTCGATGACGTCATCCTAAATGGAACATAAAAACCGTATATTTTAGGGTAAGTCTTGATTTTAAGGTAATATTGTAATACCGGCCCCGATTGAAAATTTTTATTCCATAACAATAATAATTGCGAACGTGCTCTATGAATTAATCAACGACAAATACTTTTTTCTAAATTATGACGTCATCGATGACGTAAGTAAGTACAAAAAGTGCAAAAAAAATTAATAATTTGGTTGCACTAATTTTCTATATTAGTGTTAAGTAGTGCTATGGTGGAATGCCGAATGGGAGTGCTAATTTTTGCTTTAGGGGTGCTTAGCACCCCCGTTGGTCCGCCTATGCCAATAAGTAAGATAGGGGATGTGGATAATCCTGACTGGGCACCAAGTTTTTGCAAATATAGGCTCTGCATAATGATAATGTCATGTCATATTGCACTTAACAGATTTACCCCTACAAATACACCTTACAACAAGCTATCCAGCAATGTGCAAGACAAAGTAGGTTCGTATTAGCAAATTTTCTACTCCATTACAAGAAAACATTAAACAGCAGTACTGGTGGTCAACTGTCAACTCTGTATGATGTTAATGAACTTGGACATTACAAAAAATGTCACCTGAATTTCCTAAGAGAAACATACAGTTCGTCGATTTTAATCTGATACTTCAAAGGAATGTGAGCTGGTGGCTCTCTAACGTTAGAACGCCAATGGTCACCTGACGTCACGCCTATTTTCGCCATATGTTTCACCCCCTCGCTCCGCATACGAAAAGTGTCGGATTAAAAACAACGGACAATACGTCACAATGAAATTAGGTTAACTACGATATTTCTAAAGATACCAAATACCACACATAACATATAGGTACCAGATTCCTAGTTATACTATTAACAGAAACAGCAACTCACCTGAGTCATTCCAATCCTGTAAAACGGCTTAACAGGCTCGAACTTTTTCGCATTCTCAAGCTCCAAACGCCCGTTCCTATATTGAGCAATCACCTGTAAAGTTCCGTTGAACATTTTCTCAATTTTGCCTCTCGTCCTCACCATAACACTTTTATCATTTAGTGTTAAAAGTTTCGAATTCTCAGACATCATCACATCTAATATTTCATCAAATCTTTGCTTGGTATAATCTGGGAATTCGCTTTTGAGACAATCAAAGTCACTTGTGGGGAATTCAACATTTTCATCCAATAGTAGTTTGATTAGTTTATTAATACCCATAGCTAGCCAAAACAAAAATTGATTTTGCAGGGAAAAATTCACAGGACATTGTTCCTTTTGAACCAAATCAAGACATAATTCCTCTTCTAAATAAATCAAACTCACTGTAGTATTTGCTATTAAATTCCTATCAAATTCCATGTGTTGAAGATCAGTAAAAATCAAATTCCAGCGATCTGAGAGATGTAAAAGCTCATGATCTAAAGCTTGTTTGGTTAATTTTTCCATATTAATTGTGGTAGCCATTATAGCAAAACTACTAGGTATAGGACGAATGTTTTTAATTTTCGAAGCAGTTTTATAATCAATCGGCCCGGTCATAACCATTTTAAGCCTATTGGAATCCAGCCAATAATACAAAGACTGATCAATGTAATCATCATCGTCAAAGATTGCTAGAATATCGCTTGAATTGCGTTTATCCAAATACGAATCCAGTAACATTAAAAAAGGAGCTACTGAAACATCTATGTGTAGATAGGGATAGCTTCTATTGTCGGCTAGTTCTTGCATGACTTCATTACCGGACCAAGTGAAATCTAGAATAAGGCCGAAGCCGTTTGATAAACCATCGCAGATTAGTTGGAGGTCTTCTTCGTTTGTGTCTTCTAATTTGATTCTGTGGTAAGTTGTTTCGTGGTTTTTGTTGATTGTTGTTAGGGCGTCTTCGAAGTATTGGACTTCAGGTTCTTGGTCTTGTTGAAGGAGTGTGACTGAAATAAAAAAGGAATTATTGTTATGGTATTTATATGGGTTTTTGGTAGAATAATTATAATTTGGTTTTGATTGCGTTACTTATTGTTATAAGTCTTTTAAATTGAAGAAGTTGTATATACAATCTCGCAACACTGTCTAATGATGATCAGCAACGGAGCTAATTATCTAGTCAACTTGCCCCACCGCAGTCCTAGAAACGCTACTCAACATGCCCCCACTTCACCTATGTGTGAAAAAAGAGGCAATAACCAGCGCTCACAGGCTATTCCAAATAGACAAGTTCAAGCCTGGCGATCTGAGGGGACATCTGAAAATCGTTGATCTAATAACACTGGAGAATGCCAGCAAACCAAGTGACCACATGATGGTCAGATTGGACTTAGAGATCCCCTTCGCAGTGGTAATAAACGACCGCCAATCATGGGAGAATAAAGAATTGCCACAAGCAGACAATGCATTTCTGTGGTACACATATGGATTCAAGCTAATGGACGGAGTTGGACTGGGCATTTTCGGCCCTAACTTCAAGCTCTCCAAGGCATTGATACGTAAACATCTTACATTATTTCAAGCCAAACTGATTGCCATAGATATATGTGCACAAGAGTGTCTTAACCAAAGCCTCAAAAGAAAACACATCTTCATACTATCGGACAGCCAAGCTACCTTAAAAGCATTAAGGGCTTTCAAATGCACGTCAAAACTAGTCTGGGAGTGTAAAAAGACCCTAAAAACACACAACCAGGTAACGCTGATGTGGCTGCCTGGCCATCGAGGCATAAAAAGAAACGAAGAAGCAGATGGCCTCGCCACATCATAGAAGAACTCAATAAATGGAAGAAAGACCAACTGTCATCTTATTGGAGGCACACACCGGGACTCAGACAGTCGAAAAGGCTTATTACCCTTCCAAAAAAAGAGCTGAACAGCTCCTAAATATGAGCAGACCAGACATCAGATTGGTGGTGGGACTGCTCACAGGACACTGCCCAGTAAAATACCATTTAAGGTTAATGGGCAGAGCGGAAGACGATCTCTGTAGATTCTGCTCAGACGCAATAGAGACCGCAGAGCACCTGCTCTGCGAATGTCCAGCCCAATTCTGCAAAAGGCTCAAATTTCTCGAGGGGGCAACACTGTCACCAGAAGAAGTGGGCCGACTGACACCCAGGAAAATAACTTCCTTCGGCAGAAGTCTACGCTTCCTGGAGACAAATTAAGATGTAGAGTCACGTACAAAATATCTGCAAAGGTAGCAGTGCTGAGCGGCTGAAAAGCCGAAACGACTTCCCCGCAATCTACAATCTAGACAATTCTAGAAGCTAGAATTGATAGTATAGTTCAGGAAATACAAAATTTTAGGTTGCAAAATTCATGGTAGTTCTGAACCATAAATGCCAGTCTCTGTTGTTTGTAAAGTATAAGTATGTCTGGTTTGTTGTGTCTAATTTCTCGATCTGAGACTGATATCAGTGTCCCAGTACACCTTGACCTCAGTGTTTTCCAGGATTGGAGTACATGCAGAAAGTAAGTGTATGTTTTCTGTTTTTTTATTGCATAATCTGCACTTATCATTATCTACAGTTTGTTTAAGAATCTACTTTTTGTGCAGATGACCTGATCCTGTATTGCACTAATGAATTCTTCTGTTTCAGGCATAAGTGATCCGTTCTTTAGGTAATATGTCGATCTTTCGATGTCAGCACTAGCCGATCGAAGTGCAGTAGGGTACCGGGTACCGTCCATGGAGAATTTTGGACGTCCATTCATTTTCAAGCGCTTGATGGGAGTGCAGTATAATCGGTGCGGTGCATTCTTGGCGGGTAAAGCCGGCTCGTGGATGAGTTGGAATGTTGACACCGAAATTTGGTCAGCACTGTTCGTACCAGTCTATCCATTTCTATGAGATCTGTGTTCATCCAGTGGATAACTCCAAACGTATGAGTCACAACGGGTAGAACCCAAGAATTGATAGAGTTTACGAGAGATTTGGAGTACAGGTAAGTTTTTAGTATTTTCCTGAGCCTTGTTAGTAGTGATTTGTTCCTTAATAAGTCGTTGGTCGTTGGTAAGGCCTTGTTTTATATCCATCAAGTATTTATATTTTTCATCTTCAGACAGTGCAGCAAACTCGGTGTTATCTAAGAATTGGATGTTTTTAACTTCCTGGACCACACCTCGCTTTGCAGATATGAAAGCACATTTTTCTGCCCCAAACTGCATCTTTATACCACAGCTGAACACCGATACCAGTTCCAGTTGACTTTGTAGCTCTTCTTCTGGAAATCGAAATGTATAAATTTTTAAATCGTCCATATACAAAAGATGACTTCATTTTATCCGAGATGCTTTATTTATGTTGTAGCCGTGTTCTTTAAGCATACCTATAGCTCAAAGGACTAGGGGCCATGTAGAAAAGCAGTGGACTAAGGATATCACCCTGAAAAATCAGTGGTGTATTGATTGTTGCCAGTTTTTCATGGTTTGCTTTAGGAATTCTCGGATGGTGTTGTCAACTTGGAAAAATGAAAATTTGAAGAATTTTTTAATTCAAGTTACTGCTATGTTTCGGCGCTTGTCTGGTAATCACGGAGTCTATTTTTAGCCATTTAGCACTCCCTTTACTTGATTTCCGGCACCCGTTTTGTTTTCTTGCATCTTGCTATGATATTATTGGTTTTTAGATGGTCATTAATTTTAGTTCCGATCACAGAGGTAAGAATTTTATACGTACAATGACAGGTAGTTTTTTAGCAACATATAGGTTACTCCCTAGGTAAAGTCATCTGGTATTATGCTTGGGTCCTGCACAGCTGCGTTTAATTGTGCCGCTAGAACTTTATGGGTGTTGCTAAAGTTCTGGTACTAATAGGCCTGGATGTTATCCAGGTCTGGAGCTTTCCAGTTTCCAAGTTTAGATGTAGCTTCCTTGATGTCATTTTCTTGCAGTCTTGCCGGTTTAGGTAACACATTCCACTTCCTGATCTATCCAGTATGCGTCTTCCTGATGCTGTTGGAAATTCGCCCATATGTTCGTCCAGTATTTCTTCATTGCGTTTTTTTTTTCGGGCTATTTCCTGTATTGTTGCTTTGTGGTAATAAAGATCTGTAAAAAGATTGGGGGATTTTGTTGAATATTCGATTTTGTTGGTATCGTTTAACCCTGTCAATGTACCTACAGATTCGACACCCCAATGCAGCAGCTTTTTGTCCATATATGCTTGTAGTTTTACTTGGTATTGTGGATCAGTTGCTTTTATGCGAGCCTCATGTGCTATCTCTCTGTCTAACCAAAGTTGAACGTTGAAGGTCACTTACTCATCCTTGTAACCATAGGATTCACACGTTCGGACCTATTTTGGTTTGATAAACACAGTGCGCGTGCAATAAAGACAGCAGCAAAAAGCAACGTCTGATATATTCGAGTGAGTGACCTTCAACATTCAACTTTGGTTAGACAGAGTTTAGAAGGGCGTTGACATCTGTGACCGTGTTTTTGTCGATATATTGTAGTTTACTTTGAAGATTCTTGGGAGATGGTGTACTGGCATTCCCGAGTATTGCATATCTGATGTCTGGAATAGGTCTCGTAGATTAGTAGTGTGTTTCGGTATTGAGTTTTGTTATTCTCTAGGTTTGTGGCTAGGTAGTACACGTACACACGGTCGAGGTTATCTCGCTTTGTTCATCGCATACGCCTGTCCCGACCACCTGCGGCGGGTTGCTCTAACTAACTGAGTAACCAAACTTGGTAGTTTTGTGCTGTAGTACTGTGTGTCACTGTATCGTGGTTCAGTTCGGTGCGTGGCCTTGCAGGATTATCTCGGAGGGGCGTGCTGCTTGCTCCACCTTCCTCTCCTACAAGCTGTACTTCCTGACGGCTCCGAGAGAGATCAGCTTGAAATCCCTGGTTTCTCTTTCCAGTAACGGGAGCTATATTTTCTTCAGTATGTCGGGTAGCTAACCTATCATGGCCATCATACCGGTTTGCTGGGGTCTGCAAGTGTGCAACCCGTAGCCCTAATGCAGCTGGTTGTATGGATCTTACGTCGTTACCCATAGTAATGTAAGTTCTGCTGGCAACAGTACCTACATCGACCAGACATTATTGTTATTTTTTTTTTTTTCTCGTTAAAGGGATTTTATCCATCAATGTCGGACCTGCACTATATATGTGAATCAACGAAGAAAAGATGTCACTATACTTACGGCTTTTTGCATGTCCGCTGATTTTTTGCCATTTAGGTTTAGCTTCCCTAGATTGATATTCAGGCTCTTTGGTACCAATCCCATGGAAATACTATTATGGGGATTATATCCCCTTTTTTCAGTTGTCATACTCAGCATTTCTATCGTCAGCTGTTCATATTTTGTTTTCTTCTCGATTTCTTTGGTTCTAATGTTTTGATTATTGGTTATTGCTATATCTATGAGGAGAGCTATTTGGTTTGCTTTGTTAATAATTACAATATCAGGTCTGTTGTGAATCACCTGGCGGTCTGTCAGTATCGATTTGTCCCAGTATACTTTAAGCGTTTCGTTCTCAACAACAGAGCCGTGACATTGGTGTCAGAAGTGAAACATTGCAAAGTAAAATCTGATTGCAGAATAGTACGCGGACACTAGTGTGTACACTATAGTGAACACTGGGACAGTTAGTCAGTGCAAACAGTGACAATCACAAAAAGAGACTCAACCGATTATGTAAATTACCCCGGAAGTGACTCTATACCCGATTTTGACTGTGATAGTGAATTTTCAAAAATCAACAAAAGAGGATGGTAGCTTTGAGAATGTTATGAGTAATTTCATGGAGAAAATGGAGCGAATGTAGAAACTATTACTAGAAGGTAGAAAAACGAGAAACGACTCCAGACAAACACCAAAACCGAGAAACCAGGTAGAATGTTACCGGTGCTATAAGCTTGGACATATTCAACGAGATTGTAGAGTAAGGATCCATCTAGGGATACAGACAGGAAAACGAGAACTAACCAGTATGGCAAATGCTGGTTAGTAATGACAAAGGTTGTTTAAATAAGATCATTGACAAAAACCCGGTGAGGATTCCTGAAGTACTTAGGTACTGCAAAGATCATTTGCGGAAAATTGGAAAAAAAACCCTGGGTGCTTCGTTGGACTTACACATCATTTTATTGGAGATAAATTACAAAAATTTCTTGTTGGAAAGACTCTAGTAAGAACAAATGAAGACATTATGATAAGAATTTCCAATGTTTCTTCGGAAACAATAAAAATAAAGGAAGGAGATATTATTAATTGGAACTCTCGAACCAGTTAAGCAAATATCGAATTGTAACCTATCAGATAAACAACATTTTGTGAAACCGAAATTGGATACAGATACACCTTGCTGCAGACTGGGGAAATCATGGAAACACCTCGATCCAGATAGATTTCAAAAAGCCATAGATTTCGTTGGCACGCCCAATTAGAAAACCACCACGACGTATATGCCAGTAGCTAAATCTGACATCTTGTACAATACAAGTACAGAAACAACCTATATAATGACTACGACGTTGCGCATGGCGTTTCAGAGGGAGTCTGCTGTACACCTCTAACAAGTTACCACGCTCGAAATCCGCTCGAATAGTTTATGGCCTGTGCCAGTAGTATTGGTTACAAAGAAAGATGGGAGTCTTAGATTTTGTGTGGACTACCAAAAGCTTAATGACGTCACCAAGAAGGACAGCTTCCCTCTCCCGAGGATAGACGATACATTAACTCTATCGAGTTTCAAATTGTTTTCCACTTTGGATCTCAAAAGTGGGTACTGGCAAGTGGCAATACACAAAGATGACAAAGAAAAAACTGCCTTCAGTACCGGAAGCGGGTTATACCAGTTTAGCTTAATGCCTTTCGTATTGTGTAATGCTCCCGCTACGTTTAAGCGACTGATGCATGATGCATCTTGTTTTGCGAGGCCTTACATGAAGAACTTGCCTGATATATTTAGATGATGTCATGATCATGCTAAATTCGTTCAAGAACATCTCAATAACCTGAAAGAAGTTTTTGACCGCTTTCGGAATGCCAACTTAAAACTGAATCCAAATAAGTGTTCTATTTAAAAAGTGAAATTCTTAGGTTACGTGGTATCTGAAGAGGGCATACAAGTTATGGAAGAAAAGATAGATGCTGTCAGGGATTGGCCAGAGCCACGCGACAAACATAAACTAAAAAGTTTTCAGGAATTATGTTCTTATTATCGAAGATTTGTGGAAGGTTTCGCCAATATAACTGCTCCGCTTCATCGATTAACGGAAGAAAAATCAACATTCAATTGGACCGAAGAATGCGATTCCGCTTTCAGAAAATTGAAACGAGCATTATGTACGAGCTCAGTGTTGTCCTATCCTGATTAGAAGGGCATGTTGATTTTGGACACAGATGAAAGGAACACCAGTATTGGAGCTGTCCTTTCACAAATCCAGAATTCACAAGAACATGTCGTAGGAGTACTATAGTAGAACTTTATCAAAGCCGGAACGAAATTATTGTGTCACCAAAAGAGTTTTTTTTACCATTGAAAAAGCAATCGACCATTTCCATAAGTATCTCTACGGCCGTAAGTTTCTAATCCGAACAGATTACGCGCATAGGCTCCGGAACCATGGGGGCAATGGAGGCTTGAGCCCCCATAGTGATTTAGGTATTACATGTAGTGGGCTGTTGTGGTAGTGGGTAGGTAGAAAAATATTGAGTTCTTAACTGTTAATTTTTATATCAAATTTCTGTTTTCGTTGTTTTTGCTATACCTACATTAAGGCGGATCGTCCTTTGGACATGTGGTGGGATATGACTGTCAAATCATATCACATGAGAGACATGCATGACAGTTTGAATATTTTATTGTGTAGTATTAAACCTGTATTTTCAATAAGTCGTTGGATTATTATTTCCTTTCCGTTTGTTTTCATGATAGGCCTGTTTACATCACATGATTATACCATGATGTACAGGGTGGGCCAATTTGGACACTTTTAATAGGAAACATCAATTTCTGAGCAAGATACAAAAAAATGAACCCCCCACTCTGAAGCTCAAATTTCATGAAATTTTGATTGGTGCAAACCGCATTTTGATATCTTCAACCGTTTAGTCGCTAGAGGGCGCTTCTCGATTTTGAGCAATAATCTGAAACCTTTATAACTTTCTTGTCAGCTCACCATCTAATGTTTGGAATACCTGAAGAAGAACGAAAATAAATTCGAGAATATGCCAAAAAAGTCAGAGCATGACTTCTGAGGATACATTTTGCTCGTGAGCATATTCAGCCTACCAGTGACCGAATGAAGACCAGATACGACTTGAAAGCCAATTTAGCTGGATTTCAAGAAGGCGATTTGTTGTAGCTGTATTATCCAGCAAGAAAGAAAGGAGTGTCGCCGAAATTGTCTTCAGCATGGGAAGGACCCTACAAAATAATCAAGAGAATCAATGATTTGGTTTATTGAATTCAGCGTAACACCAGGAGTGAGATGAAGGTTGTACATTTGGACAGATTTACGAAATATCATGGGCGTGAAGTTGATCGGGACGATTAACTTTAAGAGGAGGGCAATGTCACAGAAGTGCGCTTTCGCCTCGGTATCCAGAATACTATAACGCGTCTGCCAGGCTGTCGAATATCCTAGAATCTTGTGAATTATTCTACTTTAATCGGGAAAAGGAGAGTTATCGCGTATATTCTAGATTGTACATGAATGGATTTACGGCTATATAAAGGCCACTGGTATAAAATTTAGGTTAACCAGCTGACGGCTAGGTTGTTTACATTTGGAAATTGAGTAAAATTCCGAAAAATCTTGGTCATTATATATCTAAAATTGTTAATTCGGATAAATAGCAGTACGATTGTTACCGTTTTAATGTATTTTGCAAGTATTTTCTGCTTGAAATGTTTATTTCTGCAAGAAATCAAATAAATCAAATGTGAGGTTATGTTATGGACGAGAAAATTTGCAAACATTGTAAAAAAGGCGTAAAAACCTCGCTTGACTGTGAAAACTGTTGCTCGGCGTTCCATCCCAGCTGTGCAAGACAAGCTAAGGCTACTTACCTCCAGGGAAACCAACAGGAAAGCGTTAACTGTTGTCAACCGAAAATGGCCAATAACTTAGATGAAAAAAAAATTAGAGCAATCTTCAGGGATTTATTAACTGAGTTCCTAGGCCCCTTTAAGAAAGGGATCGAGAAGGACATGGCTGAGATCAAGAAATCTTCTCAAACGGTCGCTGAGTGTATCAAAGAACAAAAAAAGGCAATCCAGAGCTTAGCAACTGATGTGAAACAGCTACGTGAAGATAATACTTCATTGAATACAGAAGTGGAGGCTCTTAAGTTGAGAATGAGTACTTATGAAGCAAATGTGCAATCCCCAACCCAAGATATAGAGTATCTCACAAGTGAGGTTAACGAGCGTGCTAGAAGAGCCAATAATATTATAATTTTCAATATTCCGCAGTCTAAGTCCGCAGTTCTTCAGGAACGAATTGAAAATGACAGTAAGCATGTCCAGAATCTTCTGTCATCTTTGGGTTTAGCTGAAGAAAATCAAAAAATATTGAAGATGGTGCGTATTGGCAGATTGGCAGATGATAAAATAAGGCCTCTAAAAGTTGTCTGTCCAGATGTTGTGTACAGCATCCTCAAAAATGGCAACAAGCTTGGTTCGACCAAGATCAGGATTTCTAAGGATTTGACAAAATTGCAACAGGAGACTCATAAGAAGATTAGGGATGAATACCAGGATCGTGTAAAAAAAGGCGAATCAGTCGCTCTGAAATACAGAAATGGGTTTCCTATTATTGAAATTAAAGCCCAAACAACAGGTACTGGACCTGATCCAAAAAACACCCCTGCACCCCATTAACTGTATTCTATATGAACACAGGAGGTCTTCGCACAAAGATTGAAGACCTCACTAATATGTTGAACTGTTCGGATTACGATATATTGGTAATAATAGAAAGTAATCTCTGTGATAGTATTACTGATGGTGAAATACAATGTGATAAATATAATAGCTTCCGTTTTGATAGATCTAGTGAAACCAGCATGAAAAGTAGGGGTGGGGGAATCCTCATATATGCTAGAAAATACTTATCAGCATCCATTGTACCAGTGGGCCAAAATAAAATTGAACAGCTGTTTATTGTGTTTAATATTGGGTCAGAATGTTTTATAATTGGCGGCGTATATATTCCTCCCAATCAACATAATGACATCTATGATATGCACTGCAGGTCTGTCCAACCTATATTACAGCACTATCCAAACAGTAAATTACTGCTCTTTGGTGACTATAACTTACCCGAGGCAGTGTGGGTGAATGATGATTATGGTGTTAATGTGGAGTGCCCTGCAAATTCAAATGCACTGACTGTTGCTGCATCTTTTGGCTTTTTGAAGCTGTTCCAGGTGAATACTATTCCAAATGACAGAGGTGTTTTCTTGGACCTGGCTTTTACTAATATTGGTAATTTAGTGGTTAATAAGGCAAGTGATCCGATATTTGATAACAGTTATCACCACATTTCTTATGACTGTAAGGTTATGACTAAGGAAGCTCCTGATAAAAAGTTAGTTGTTGATAATTTCTACTATGATTTCAAAAATTGTAATTATGTAGGTTTAAACAATTTTTTGGCTTTTATACAATGGGTGGAAATTTTAGCAAACAAAAATATTAATGGGGCAACTTCTATCTTTTATGAGATCATTAACGAGGCCATTGTAAATTACGTACCTTTAAAAAAATCAAAAACTAATACCTTTCCAAAATGGTTCTCGCCTGAGCTTAAACAACTGACATTTAGGAAGAGAAATGCCCACAAAAAATATATGAATGATATGACTGATGTTAACTATCAAGAGTTCTCTCTTCTTAGGTCTCAGTGCAAGTTGCTCTCTAATCAAATGAGAATCCAATACATGGGAGTTGTAAATGACAGCTGTAAGGCAAACCCTAAATATTTTTGGAAATTTATTAGAGACCAGAAAGGAACATACGATTTGCCTTCAAAAATGGTTTATGATGATCAGCTGTTGAGTGAGGGGCAAGGCATAGCTAGTGCTTTTGGGGAGTACTTTTCCACAGTTTACTCACCAAGTTCATCGTTCAGTCTTCCTAAAACAGAAAATTGTTATCCAAACAACAATATCACTTGGCACTCATTTACTAAGGAGGCTATTTTTGGGGGAATAGCGAGCTTCTCTGACAGAGTCACGGTAGGGCCTGATGGAGTTCCAGAGTTGCTATTGAAGAGGTGTGTTTGCACATTAACCACGCCTATTACTATACTGTTCAATCTCTCTCTTAATAGTTCAGAATATCCAGATGTATGGAAAAATAGCTACTTGTTCCCAATTTTTAAAACTGGCGATAAGCAAAACATTAAAAATTATAGAAGTATTTGTACCCAATCTGTGATTCCAAAATTGCTAGATGAATTGATATGCAAACAATTGACATGGGCCTGCCGGGGGCTGTTAGATGAGGCTCAGCACGGATTTATCAAAGGCAGATCCACTACCACAAACTTGGTTTCATACCAGTCATCACTGCTGAGGGCCTTGGAAGACAAAAAACAAGTTGATGCTATATATACTGACTTTTCTAAGGCCTTCGACAGTGTTGATCATGGTTTATTGTTTGATAAGTTATATAGATTTGGTTTTCACCTGGATATAGTAAAGTGGTCCGTAGTTCCTTCACTGGTCGAGTTCAAAAAGTAAAAATAGGTTCATTCCTATCTGAGAATATTATGGCAACATCTGGGGTGCCCCAGGGGGGACACTGCTCGCCATTACTTTTTAACATATTCGTCAATGATATCACAAAAAACTTTTTGCATAGTGTACCTGCAGCATTTGCTGATGACTTTAAAATTTTTCGAGTCATTAACAGTATGTATGACGCAAATTTATTATAGGAAGACTTAAATCGTCTTGTTGCTTGGTGTGACATCAATAAATTGAAGCTCAATGTTGATAAGTGTTTTACAATTAGTTTTTTCAGATTCAATAAAAAGGTAAATTCACTTTATTATATTAAAGACAGGCAAATCAGTTATACATCCAAAGTAAAAGATCTTGGTGTAATTTTCGATCAAGAGCTCAAATTTGTAGACCATATAAATAATTTGATAGTACAGTCCTCCAAGTTGTTAGGTTTTGTCATCAGGAATTGCAAGAATTTATCGGTGTCCTCTGCCAAGTGTATGTATTCTAGTTTAGTAAGGTCAAGGTTAGAGTATAACTGTATAGTGTGGTCACCTTATCACCAAATTTATAAGGTTTCAATTGAGAGAGTTCAGAGCAGGTTCTCGCGTTTTTGTGTTTTTCGCATGGGGTTCAAATTTTTGATCATGAATATGACTACATACGCAATATGCTAAATTTGGACTCTCTTGAGCTTCGAAGGTTGAAAATTGGAGTGCGCTTCATTTTTGATCTTCTAAATTTTAATATAGACTGTCCTCAGCTTCTAGAGCAAATAAAGTTTCGCATTCCAAATAGAAACCTCAGACATAACAATTCATTTTTTGTTGATTATCACAGAACTGATTTTGGTCTGAACTCTCCCATGTGCAGGTATATTTCTTTAATTAATCAGCACAACTTGGAAGTTACAGGGATTTCTAAAAGTAGATTTATTAGTCTAATTAATAAATGTGATCTATTATAGGGCGAAAAAAAAATATATATTTATACCTATTCTTTTTCTAGGGATTTTTGTTGTTGTTGTAATTTTGCTGATTTAGTTACATTGGTTGATAGCAATAGTACTAATACTATTGCTGGCTAACCTTAAGATTATTGTTAAATTTTGTAAAACTATTACATTAATGGGATAATCCCGTCAATAAATAAATAAATAAATAAATATTTAGAAGTTTAAGTTTAAGTTTGACTGTGATACGATTTAAATAAGTATAGTGATTATTGTTGAGAGTTGTAAAGAGTTTAGTTATTGAGTTAGTTATTAAAGTAATTAGTGCCAGTGTATAGTTACGTGGAATAAATTATTGCTGTGTTAATTGGACTTTGATTTTTGGAATAAACGAACCCAAGATTTCCGTCACGCAAGCCAAAGCCGTGACAATATTAATGACAACTCTAATCTACATTAACAGTACTTGCATGGTATCTAAAGGAAATAGTATATTATTGTTTAACCAGTGGACGAAAAGGTAATTAAACAATATACAGGAGCTATTGTAGGTGTCCATAAATACTGTACGACTATCTTTGGTAAAACATCAAATCAAAAACATCTTGAAATTTACCTAAATAAGTACTTAAATCAAATTACAATTGATTTTCATTAAATTTTATTAACAACTCAATCAACAACCAACTCAAATTCATCTGGCCTATACCTCCGCCGTTTCATGTAAATGTAAAACCTGTAACAAACGATGCTTGTCAAAATAGCAACAAAACCAACAATTAAACAAATACCCAAATTGTACAAAACGCTATTTTTCTGCTTGATGTTGCTGATAACAGCAAATCTGCAAGGAATCCCTGCAACATTTTGACTCAAATTATCTAATGCAACATTTTCGCTATTAGTATAAATAATGTGACGTTGTTTTAAATATTGTATAAATTTGGTTAAATTGTCACAAGTTAATTGATTAAATTTAATGTTTATATTATTTAATGTAGGCAGTTTTGATAGTATTACATCGTACTCGATGAAAACTAGTTTATTTGATGCTAAATCTAAAACTCTAAGGCTTTTTAAAGGCTCCAGTAAATCATACGACAACGATTCTATATTGTTGTAAGACAAATTCAATATTTCTAAATTGTTTAAATCAAAAAATGATGCATTTTGTATATTATTAAAAGATAAATCTAAATTTTTTAATTCGTGAAGACCTGCAAATACTTTATCAGGCAAATTGTTTAAGGAATTATTTCTTAAGCTTAAATTTCTTAAGTTTGTTATATTTTTTAAAAAACCTAAATTATTTAAGTGATTTGAGGCTAAATTTACACTAATTAGATTAGGAACTTTTTGAAAAACTAAATCACTTTGTAAATAATTAAACTTTAAATCAACTTCTTGCAGTTGTGGCAGGTCATTTAACAAAACTCTAGTTAAATTATTAAAGCTTAAATCCAAATCCCGCAACTGTACAATATTAGAACAAACAAATTGTTTTAAATAATTAAAACTTAAATCAACAAAATTTAATACTGATTTATTACTAAACAAGTTACCATTAAAAACTCTAAGCTTGTTATTGTTCAAATGTAATTTTTGTAATTTAACTAGTGATTTTAAGCTAATAAGCTTAATATTTGTCAACTTGTTGAAGCCTAAATCTAAATATTTAAGCTTAACCATTTCATCTAAAGCGTAACCTAAATCTACTATTTGGTTGTGACTTAAATCTAAATCAATAAGGTCATTAGTGACACTAGTGATGTTATAATAATTAGTAATATCGCCTAATATAGGTGAAGTTAATTCACTATTTATATTAAAGCCTAAAGTTTGTTCCGATGTTGGACAGAAAAAGTTTGATAATTTACTTATTTTGTTTCTACTTAGATCAAGCACTTTAAGCTTTCTTAAATTGCACAATTGCAAATCGTCAACCTTTTCAATTTTATTGTTAATTAAATCTAATTTTTCTAAGTTGTTTAAATAATTAAACCCTTGCTGGGCTATAGTTGACAGGCTATTGTTCATTAACTGTAATTTTTTCAAGTTATTAAGCCCTGTTAATGTGGCGTTTTCAATTTCAAAACTAGTATCACGTATATTTAAAACTTCAAGCTTTTCTAGCTTATTAAAAATACTCAACTCCTTGTTAAATGTTAAGCTGCAATTGAAAATATTAAGTATTTTTATGTTTTTAACGTTTTTGAAAATATTTGGGGTAACATTTTCCAATATTGAATCAATAATCGTCAACGAAATTTCATTGTTTATGGTGATGTTTTCTAAAATGTGTTCGTAGCCTTTTGTGATTCCTTCGCAAGTGACGTTGAAGGAATTTTGTCCGTAATCTTCGTAGAAGGTGAATGATTTATCACAATTGAGGCCGTAAGTAGTAGTTTGGATTAGCAAGTAAGCTAAAATACCTAAAAAATAAAAAATACATTAATTAAGTACATAATTGTTTCCTGGAGAGGAAAAATAAAATGCGCACGATAATTGAAAATTGTTTCCTGCAAACAATATAATTGTTATGTTTATGTTTATTGTGAAATTGCATTTATTAAAGCAAAATGATAATGTCACCATTGGAATAATCGAGAGTTTTGATGAAACGATGACAGTTTTTAATGTTAATCATATATAATTTATGAGGAAATTAATTTTGAAGTTTTGACTGACTTGGTAACTGTATGAGCTACCAACATCAAATTTTGCTCAGTTTATAGAGAATTTGATACTCTTTTGAGCGATTGACAATCCTAATGAAATTGGTCAAATATAATTGAAAATATGAGCAATTTTTCTTGATTTTTATTCTCAAGTATTTTGGGAATTTCAAAAATAGGTAGGCGTTTTTGAACAGGAAGGATGTTTAATTTCCTGGGATAATTAATATTTGAGTTTCTAAAATAATGAGAATGAGCCCAAAGTGGCTCAAAACTTATTAAATCTCAAATTTAAGATTTTGTTACAAAGAAAGAGGACTCGTTAACAAAAAAATGGTCAGAAATCGGAGTTTTGGTTTGGTTTTGGGCAGGAAATTATATTTTCATCCATTTCCAGTTTAAAATCCAGATTAAACAAATTACCGAAACGCGTGTGTTATGAAAGTTGGGGCATTGTAATTCAAGTGCAACAATGAATCTGCGCCAAACGTGCAAAAATTACTTGAAAAAACGTGATATAAGCAACGAACATTAATTATTCTAACATAGAGTCACTCAACAGTGTTGCTATTTGTGATGGTGGATTGTGATTTGGAGTCACTGTGGGTCAGAGTTGTTTATAAAAATTTTTGCTGTTTGGTGGGTATTTTATACAAGCCTCCCGCTGTGAGTTTTAGGGCGCTTGATGCAATTGAGACCATACTTTCCTCACTGTCACCTTCGTATGATCATGTGTTTCTTGTGGGTGATCTTAATGTTAATTTATTATTAAAGAATCAAGATTGTATATACTTTAACTCTATTCTGGAATTGTTTAATTTGTCTCAAATAATTGAAGAACCTACTAGGGTATCCAGAAGTAGCAGCACACTAATTGACATTGTATGTATAGATAAATCATTGTGTATTGAGAAATCGGGAACTATGGAAATGTATAATCTGACAGATCATAGATTGGTGTATGCGATTTTGGTGTTAGATGTTCCAAAACCTTTGGCTAAATACCGAACTTACAGGGACTTTCGAAATTTTAGTATTGATGAATTTAATACAGAAATGAATCATAAGCAATTTGAACGTATCTTTCAACAAGGATCATCTAACACCATGATTGAGTGTCTTAATCATCAGCTGACAGAAGTATTTGACAGATTTGCACCTTTGAAAACTGTCTTGATTAAACGAAAATTTAAACCCTATATAACTGATACTATAAAAGAAATCATAAAATTAAAACGAAATGCTTATAACAAATATAAAAGAACCTTATCTCAAGCACACAAAAATTATTACCTTGATATAAAAAACTATCTTTCATTTGCCATTCGAAGGGAAAAAAAGGCTTATATGTCATTCGAATTGAATAAACTTAAAAAAGATCCTAAAAGAACTTGGTCAAAAATGAACGACTGGAATATTCACTGCAATAATAACATAGAAATTCCTAATCACTTAAAAAATGTAAACGAAATCAGCAACCACTTCGCAAGTGTCTGTCAGCTGGTAACTCCAATTGATGATGCTACTCTGGACTTTTTTAATGGTAATAAATTTGCAGGACTGGATAATGACTCATTTTTCTTTAAGAACTTAATCGAAATTGATGTTTATCGCGCATTCAGACGCATTAGGTCTAAATGCAGTGGAATTGACAATATAACTCATGATATGTTGCTTTATAGCCTAGACTTTATAGTGCCATTACTCACTAATCTCTTCAACCGATTTCTGCAAACTGGGGAATTTCCCACTGCTTGGAAAACCTCTATTGTAAAGCCTCTTCCAAAGTCTGCTAAGATCAGTACTATTAATGAACTCAGACCCATTAGCGTCTTGCCAATCCTTGGCAAAATGCTTGAGTTACTTGTCTCAGACATGATAAATGATTTTATATGTAATAGAAATATTATGCCAGCAGTGCAGTCTGGATTCCGGACAGGCCATAGTACCGCAACTGCACTGAGTAAAATCACCACAGATATATCTTTAAACACCGACCAATCCCTGATTTCGTGTCTGATCCTACTTGATTATAGCAAGGCCTTTGATCTTATCAATCATAGCTTATTAATGGCCAAGCTGCGGTATTATGGTTTCTCTGAGCAGGTCTGCCTCTGGTTTGACAGTTATCTGACATCAAGAATCCAAATTGTGGAGGTGGAGGGAGCAAGGTCTGAGCCTGTCCTCGTGACACGTGGGGTCCCCCAAGGCAGCATATTAGGCCCTTTATTATTTAATTTTTACACCTCTGACTTGCCTAGCCAGGTCGGGTTTTGCTCGGTCCATCTCTACGCGGATGACACGCAGCTTTTGGCCGCGTTTCCCCCGGAGGAATCCAGCGCTGCTATGAATGAAATTAATAAAGATCTGAACAAAATATACAAATGGTCTATCAGTAATGGATTGCTCTTGAACACGTCAAAGTGCGTGCATTTAATATGTGGTTCAAAGGCTGGTAGGAATCGGTTTGATTTGTATAACTTCACAATTCTTAATGTCAATGGGTTGGTGATTCCGTACGCCGAGAACGCTAGAAACTTGGGATTAATAATCGACAGTGACTTAAGCTTCAGTGTTCACATATCCAAAAAACTGTCGTTAGTCTATCTTAAACTAAAATCCTTATATGCATTTAAGTATTTACTACCATGTAGTACAAAAATGATGCTGATTGAATCATTAATTTACCCTCACTTGGATTACTGTAGTGTTGTTTACTTCAGCTTCTTGACAAAAGAACTGAGAAATAAAATTCAGTTAGCCCAAAATTCTTGTCTACGATTTGTCTCTTGTACTGGTAAATTTGATCATATCACCCCAATTTACATGCAGTATGAACACTTGAGGTTTGAGTCGCGTGTCTCTCTGCATTTTGCTGTTTTTCTTTATAAGATTTTTAAGAGTAATTGCCCTGGTTATCTCTGGTCTCTAATTGTGCCTAGAAATGACTTGCATAATAGGGATCTTAGAAATACAGTAAGATATAATATACCGCTACATCGAACATCCAAATTTAGAAGTTGTTTTGCATTTCTGTCTGTAGAATTACTCAACTCAAATATCTATGATTTGTTAATTAATAATTCATTAGTGATTTTCAAAAAGGTTTATAAAAGCCAATTACTGGAATCTGTGTAGTAGTATGAAAGTGTTCAAGGAGACAGGGCATCATGGAAGAACGCCTCAGCGAATGTTGCCTTTTGTGTATTGTTTTTGTATTATATTTATTAAATATTATACTGTACAAATTACGCAATAAATATTATTCTATTCTATTCTATTCTATAAATCATGAATAAGTGTTTAAAACGTGATAAAAAAAAAGAAAGCGAATATTATCAATGCGACTGTTGTTTTGCAGGCACAATGCCTGGAACTACGATCAAGTGAGATAAAAACTCTATTCCCTTGCAGAAACATATATTAATGCTCTGTGTGCTTCATGCAGAAAATATACCTATGTCAAAACTACTCACCACAACCGTTAGCATCAAAACATTCTGCCCCCCAATCTAGCCATATCCCGGAAATCTGACCAATCAAATTCGAAGTAGCTATTTTGAGCGGCATAATGTTACTACATGGGCTAGATCAGGGGTCAGAATGTCAGGACAGAATTTTGGACCAGAAGTGCCGCATGTTTTGTTTATTTGTCGCTCATTGCTCTATTGAAATTTATGCGAAGACATTTCAATATTTATTCATGATGGAGATAGATGCGATAAAACTACCCACAACGTTTGTTTATTCGAATGTGAGTGAAAACACTTGTCGTGCAAAAGGAAAAATAGTACCTACATTAATGGCCGTTTGCACCGACCAATTTATGGAAGGCTTAACGATAAGAAGGTATTCCTTAAAGTGACATTTGCCCATGCAAAAATGTCATTTTAACGTAGACTTAGGTATCGTTAAGGCTTCCTTAAAACAGTCGGCAAACGGCCATTAATGTAGGTACTATTTTTCCTTTTTTTATTTCATGTACGTGCGTTTTTAATTAAGGTAAAACACCTAATGCTGAATCTAAATTTATTAACCCCTTATATCCAAAATGGAAATATTTCTCAATACCTCCGTTTCAATCAAAAAACTAACAATTAAAGCAATATATTCAATAGTAATTATAACTAGTGCAATGGAAATTATTGATAATTTTTGGGAAATTTGCCCGAATGCATTTTTAGTTGAAAAAGAGCACGAGTGCACGTAGTGCACGAGTGCCTTTTTCATTTAAAAACGCATGAGTGCAAATTTGTCGAAAATTATAAATATATTTCCATTGCACGAGTTGTATTTAATGAGATTATTCCACTCATGTGTTAGAAATCCCATAAGACAAGTGACGATTTTCAGAATTACAGCGAAAATTCTCTTTTCCATTTGTTTAACTAGAGAGAATTACAGCGATAATTCTCCCATGTTATTGTATACATGGTTTTCATGCTAATTTTTGATACAAACAAACGGTTTCTGATAGCAACCATTTATTTGTATTGATTGTTAAGATGTTCAAAAAGTTTAATACATATTTATTTCCATATTTTTTGCATTCTCATACGTGAAATAATCCTCTAAATACCACTTGAGCTTTAAAATGAACCAGATAATTTTTCACTCATGCGTGTTTTCTCTGCTAATTTCACTCGTCCTACGGACTCGTGAAATTAAAGAAAACACGCAATCGTGAAAAATTATCGGTAATTTTGAAGCTCTCGTGGTATTATCCCCGAGAATTTCATAAATCAAAAATTTAAATT